TTCGAATGCCCAAATCACTAGACATAAGCCCTCTCGCTTGTATACTTACAACTATAATAAACCACTGCACGGTTTGTCTCCGTGTTCACGTGACTCCCTGTTATTAGTTGAACCGTTAGCCTCGTTTCCGCAGGTTAACACCGGTTCCAAACTCTAGTCCTCAGCTATGATCAAAATCAGGTTGATCTTGAAATTTGTTCTCGCTCACTCATTTAGTATATGTATGAAATACCCCAATGCCCCTTGCCTGTTATCCGCTAATTTTATTTTATACCCTTTTTAGCGCTTTGCGACCCTTTGAAACTTTCATTCGTCCACTTTTCTTTAATGATATAACTTCGAATTTTCGCTTGCATTTTCGCTTTCGAGTCTTTGGACTTCCTTCGGCTAAGATCGCTTCTATTCTTGAACCATCCTATTTAGGTGTTAGACGAATCTGGCATGAATTGCCTTTCTTTTTCTTTTGGTTCTAATTTTTTTATTTTTTTTTTATACTGATTTTGATTCCCATTTCTAGATCTATCTTTTCCGGTTTTTGTTCTTAGAGCGTAAAGTTTTTCCAGGCGAGGAATCTTACATTCTTTGTACTAGTCTTTATTTTTAATTATTCGACACCACTTTTTCTCTGGGGCTTTCAAGATTCTTCAGCTCCAACGTAGAGAAAGACTCTTGGTACGATGTCATTTTTTGCGGATCTTTAGCAATTCACCGGCTAACAAAGAATGACAATCAAGTTGGATCCAAAAATTTTATTTTTATGGGAAAGGTGTGTAACAATGGTTGAAGAAATAACTTGCATTGCCTTAAGCTTTATGTCGTGCCCGTATGAATTGTAATTTTATTTTTATCGCAGACAAAGAAAGCCTTCAAAAATCTTTTCTTCATCACGTAACCACAACGCTCGCCAGATCCGTTTATAATATCGATAACTTTAGTGCATATCAAGCTGCCGCTCACACGTATATAGTGTTCGTAATCGATTAATCAAACGATGGAGTGATACCCAGCAGGTCTGTTCTAAGTTTTTCTTTAGTCCAAATTTGTATGATACCATGTGCATATTTTCCTTATATTCGTATTATTACAAGAATATAAACTAGATATTTTTCGGAATTAACAAAGTTTGTTTTAATATATAATTAACGAAAGGACTTGTTTTGTGTTTTTAGAATCACACCGAAGATGACCCAAAGCGCGTTTATT